TCCTACGTGAAGATCTTCGGTGTTGTACTGAGGATACCCTCTGAGCAGGGCCGCCACAAAGCCTTCTCCATGTCCCGCACCTGGCCGTGGTCTCCCTCTTTATCAGCACTGCATTTTTTGCCTACCTGAAGCCACCCTCCATCTCCTCCTCAGTTCTGAATCTGGTGGTTGCTGTTCTGTACTCTCTGGTGCCTCCAACACTGAACCCCCTCATCTACAGCATGAGGAATAAGGAGCTCAAGATTGCCCTGAGGAAACTTATCCCGTTTGTCTAATGCCAGCAACAATAGCTGTCCCAGGGGATTTGACCTCAAGGATATTTGTTGTTCATTTATTCTTCTTGCTTTTGTTCTCTTGCATTCATATAAAGGAAAGCTAATATTCTGTTTCATGCCATTTCTCCACAGGAATCTCTCTCATTTGTCTCTGCCGCAGGGACCATGTTGAAGCAGGATACCAGGCTTCCCCCTTCACCAGAAAACAGGGGGGAAACCCTGAGCTCACTGGTCTGAGCAACCTCTAATGCCCTCCATGCAGTGAGGAGACTTTCCCTGTGCAGTGTCTCTTCCAGCACCGACTCCAAGGAAGCTGAGGGGCACAGAGTCAAGTTCAGACGAGTACAGACAGGGTGAGACCTTGGTTCCTGATTTCATTAGGAGAATCCAGCTCCCCTAGCCACACTCTGGGTTCTGATTGTACATGCTCTCCCATGGGAGTCATAGCTACATGGTCTCTTCCCTCTACATTGATCCAACACTGACAGTGGGGCATCACTGGAGGGGAGGAGAGCCAGGATGCAGCACCACAGGCATTTCCTTGCTACCTCCTTCACTGGGGGCTGCTGCTTTCCTGGCAACATGTCCACAGACAGCAGCAGGACTTTCTCTTTTCAAGGCTCTTCTCCTCATTTCCACACTGTCCTGCTGAGCTGTCTGGTGTATATTTGCCCTAGGGGTTCTTGGAACATGGTGCTTCCTGGTGCATTTCTGTGCTCTCAGGCAGGACCAGGCCCTGGGCACCCTCATGCCACACCTGGTCTCCACTATTACATTTCCTGTAATAAAAGAGCATCTCCCCTGTGATTTGCCTCAAGTGTGGTCTTTCTTCTAAGATACATCTCAAATAATTGGACAGAAAGTGGTCTTGGTATTCTGCTTGTGAGCTTCATGGGATCCAGGGGACGAGCTCCGAGGATGTTAGATCTGTATGATGTCCTAGGGACCAAGGGGAGCACATGTGAGTTCATCTCTCAGTGACCAGTGCCAACGGAGATGGGAAATAGTTTTGGAATCACCTGCAGCAGGCTGTCCCACAGGTGACAGTGCGGATGGGAGTTGCCCTCCATCCTTCTGGAGGGGAATCTCCAGCAGATTCCCACAAGAGCTCAGGAGACCTCCACAGGCCAGGAGAGGGCAGAGTGGAGCCTCACAAAATAGGGATGCTTCACCACGGAGGAAGCAGAAGGTAGAGCTTAAAATCCAGGTGCACCTGGGAAAAAAAGATCTCTGCACCTGGAAGAGAAGTGCTGGAGATGCAGGAGGCCCAGGGAAGGGGCACTGGAGGGTGATCCCTGCACCCACAGTGAAACACCAGAGGCAGGAGCTAGTGCCCACCCAAACACATGTCCTGCCATTGCCAGCAGCATGGGGTCACTGTGAGCACTGTCCATGAGCACACACAAGTTCCAGCAGTATCAGTGGTGGGAATCCCTGTTCAGCTGGGTCTGCTTCTCTCTCTGACCACTATGGCCATGGAGCTGGGTTTGTTCAGTCTGGAGAAGGGAAGGCTCTGGGCAGACGTAATAACAGCCTCCCCATACCTACCAGGATGGCACCAGGAAGATGGAGCCAGGCTGCCCTGAGGACCCTCCCCGATGGAATGATTCTTCCATTCCACTTTCACGGAGTCACAGAACCACAGAACGATTGAAGGTTGGAAAGCACCCCTAGAGATCATCTAGTCCAAGGTCTTCCATTGTTGATCTTAAGGAAAACCTTCAGCTTCCCTGTGACCATGGATATGTTTCAGAAAGAAATAGGACTACCTCAAGCCCTACAGGTCACACAGAGAGGAGTTGAGATCAGCACAGGCCTTTCTGTTTTAGAGAACAGCCAGGGGCACAAGTAAAGCTGAAGTGATGCTGGGATGAGGGCAAAGTAGGAAAGCAGCTTGGTTATCTACAAGCTGCAGGGAAACAAGTGCAGGCCTGGGAATATGCAGAACAATCTGAGGAGGACACAGTAGAATGCACTACCATGGCTGAAAACCTCCAGAAGAACTTTGTGCTCTTGGCCATGGCTGGTGTCTCTGTCATTGAGGCCAGGGAGAAGAAGCTTTTTCCTTTTGCCAAAGAGGCCTCCTTGCCTGCTTTCCCCCAGGGACACAAGGTGTCCTGTATCAGTGTCCTGCCCTGGGACACTGCCCCCACCAAAGCCCTGAGCACAGCAGGATGGAAAGGATCTCCCCACCCTGGGCTTGGGCACCTGTGCTTGGCCACCTGCCTGATAACACACATGAAAGGTTAACTTGGCATCAGAGGCACCTGCACGTTGCCTTAGGCTCCCTGCAATCAGGGTCTCCAGCTTTCTGCTCTAAGCAGCCCCTGGGAAGGCTTTGCTTGGGAAGGAACCACAGTGGAAGCCACTAAGCCTCCAAGAAACTTGGGATTTGCTTCTGACTTTAACTTCTTGAGAAGTTCCTTCAGCCTCCTGGGAGCTTTGGAGGAACTTGGCTT